CTTACAGTCTGGCGTTGAGTAAATTGCATTTTGCTGCCCCCACATTCCAAGAAAATCTGAGCGCTGGGCCTCAACAGACCTGAGGAACTTATTTTTGATTTATTTGAGCATCTAGAACAGTGCTCTGCAAAAGAACTTTCTGCGTGGGTGGAAATGTTCTGTGTCTGGGCTGCCCAGAATAGCAGCCAAAAAGCCTCACGTGACTGTTGAGCTCTTCACTTCAGAGAGTACAACTGAGGAACTGAAATTGTAACTTAATTTTAATTACTTTAAAATGATATATAGCAACTTGTGCCTAGAAGCTACATGTTGCACGACACAGATGTAAAATCTATTCCTCTATCTTGAGACTTTCTCCTGCAGGTTTTGGATCTGAGGTCCATGAATTCCACGGAGATCCATCCAAGAACTGTTTTAAGAGGGCCCATGAATCATCCGAAATTGCATTAAAATTGTATACACATGCAAGTACATTTTTCTGAGTGTTCAGAGCTTTCATCGGAATCTCAAATGCCCTACTGAAAATGTAAAAAAAAAAAAAGTTCTGAGACTGCGGACCACGCTGGGAATGCCAGCATTCCTCAGCTCTAATAAGATCGCGTGGTCCAAAGTAGACTTCACTTTCCAAGAATCTATATGGGAACCACCTAGGCCCTCTATTAAAATACTCTCTCATGTCCACCCTGGTTTGGCCCTCATCCCATGTCTGACATAGAATCACTTTTTGCCACAAGAGGCTCAGGGACAAAACTCCATTAACCATACTTAATATATTACCTCATTTATTCATTCATCAAATAGTTGAGAGTCTACAAAGTACAGAAGACAAGGAAGGCAAGACACAAGCCAAATCAGGCCTCTGGACCCTGGAAAAACAATGGAGTGGAGGCAAAGGATGGGTGGGGCTGAACTGAGAAAACCCTGGTTGAAAGTCTGAGCAGCAGTGAGACGTCTCACTGCCCTGATGAGTCAGCACAGCCAGGTCGCACCTCCACCCAGGCTGATGGCGAGGGACTTGCACCCTCAGAAGATGAATCAGAGCAGCTTAGAGTTGGAAACACGAGGAGACAGCTGAGAATGAGGAAAAGACAAGGGGTAAAACAGGATTACGTGAAAGGCCATGTGCCCAAATAAAAGGCTTGAACCTTTCTGCCGTCACTCCTAACAACGTGGGGACGGGACACAGCTCACTGCAAGTGAAGGGGGTGAGGGTGTGGCCCTGCGAGCCCAGCCCGGTCAGGGAAGTGTCCTGCAAGGTGCTGTGTGGTGCTTCAACCTTAAAGGAAGTGGAGAAAAGGAAACCAGCGGGGGACCACATGCCAAGGTCTATCTCACCGCAGCCAAGAAGCTAAGAAAACACCAGACACATCAAAAAACTGGCCCTGGACAACTCCAAAGAGCATTAATTTCTTAAGAGGGAAAAAGGAGAGAGCATATCAGTCCTTGAATTGCTGCTATATCCTGTGTTTAAATACTTACACTGCAATTCTACAAGAGGCACACTGGCTTAAAGAGTCCATGCATTGCTGATGATGGCTGTCGCCTGTGGAAACCAGGAACCATATTCGAACTGGGCCCTGAATGTTCGGTGCTTCTCAGTGTGGAATGTGAAGTTCATTGGGAAGGATGGACTCTAGAAAGCTACTCTCCAAAGCTATGCATCACACAGATTCACACAGACTCCAGTTTGTATACCTCATGTTATACAAACTGGAACTCAAAGCCCTGACTAACAAACTCCACAGGACATCTTCCGCTCCCTATGTTCCAAGTGCAAAAACACTTTCTGGGAACCCCCTCCTTTTTTTCATTCATAACAGCGATCTCAACTTCAGAACCAGGTTTTGGTGCTCACGTTCTAAAGCTCTCTACAAAAGTTACTGTAGTGGCAACAATTAGAAGAACTAAATAACTTAGCAAAGATGAAGCCTGCCAGTCATCATGCCTTTTATAACATACCAGGTATTTCTGCCTCAGCTGAAAGGTGAAAATACTTCATATTCAGGAATAGGGAGCATATGACATCTCTTCTAAATGAGAAAATCATACTACTAATAATGAGGGTAAGAGAAACCAAGAATGCAACGCAAAGATGTAAACTCTCTCAGAGCGTTAACACACAGGGAAGGTGAACAGAAAGCCCTCACCCTATTTGTCCCAGAAGAAAATGATCTGAAATGCATGTGAAGTGACTTGTTCCATGAAAATGCAGACAGACAAACTGTGTGGCTGCAATGCTAGAGGTATTAAAACCGAAGGCAATTTATATTATGTGGATAATGCTCATAACTGCAGCGAGACTACCTAGAGCAGAGCATTACCGTAAGGAAAAACATGACAATGTCCTTCCCAAAACGCAAAACCCCATCATCATAAATTGCCCTTGCTCACTGTCAGTGGCTTGTGAGAGCTTGAGAGTCTATCCAAATATGCACCTAAAATAATATTACACTAATCTCATATATTTTATTCATTGCTCCCCTTTCAACATCAGCTCCTTCACAGACACTCAAAGAACTATCTGACTTCAAGAAAAGTGAAATATTAAATAAAAATCACCATTTTAATGACCTGAAAGTGGCCAATTAGCCATGAGTTGAAAATACTTCAAATCAATTTAATGCACAAATATAACTGATAGATTGTTATGAAGTACTTTATAAATTTAAGTGTCAAATAAATGGTCTATAATCAGAATCACCATCATCATAAAAATACTCTCACAGCCACAAAGTGGCCATAGAGAACCTCTAACACTCTATCCCCAGGACTGAGGAAAGACAACACTATGTACATAAAACTGAGATAAAGAGAAGTAAGCGCCAGGAAACTTGCTGTCACATCAAACAGTAAATGTTCAGTAAGCAGCAAAAACACAACAAACAGACCCCCAAAAAATTTTATGCCAAGTTCAAGGAGGCTGATGGAATTTATACTTTATTCAATGAGATAAATGCATAATTTTGACCAATAATTCCAGGTAGATAATATTCAACAGATTGTTTAAATTTTTTCTTTAACTGTGTAAGGTCCAGAAAAATGGACAATTTATTTCTGACCTTCCTCCTAATGCTAAACTCACTGTCATTACTACACAGTGAATGCACTTTGGAGAATGAGCAGAAGAGCTGGCATGAACTGACATATTTCTTTGCTATAAATCCAGAAATTTATAGCCAAAGAAAAACAGCAATAAGAAAAAAAGACTGACAACAATGTTAAATAAACACTCAAAGTTACTTATCATTCTTTGAGAAACTGGGAAGCGGTGGGGTCTAGTGAATTAAGAAACAAAGAATATGTCAAGAGCAATGAAACTGAACCCTAGGCACATCTTAAAGCTTAGATGGTTTCTCTATGGAAATTAGGATACTCTTACTGCTGTCTGCAATGGGTAATTAACATCTGTGACAAACTATGGAAGTACAAACTATTAAATAAATTATGACTGGTGAAGAATTTTAACCATAATGTGCTAAATAATAATGATGACACATGGGCTCTGAACTTTACCATTTTTGTTTTCAAATTAATAATGCAAACAAGGCTCCGACCTTATAATTTGGCTTCTGGTATTAGGTAGCATGTTCAATCAATGGATTCAAAATCATCCTAGAGCTCCTGTTTTCCCAAGGGCAGTTGGCTCAACTTTACATGTAGTAAAGAAAATAAGGTCGTACTCTATTCCTGTAGCTGCAGAAATATCACTGTTATGCCCATGCCTACATTTTGGCTGATTCCAACAAGAGGCCATTCTACTTGGAAACCTACTAAGCAATGAACTTTTGGAAAATTTCCTCTTACTTAAAATTGAAAATCCTACACCATGGTAATGTTTTAAACTATTTTCTGGGAATTAACAACACCTATGATGTTCAGCTAAAAATCACTGCTCTACCCTTCCCACTCTCTTGAACTATAATACTGACGAGATGGTAGACGTATCTAAAAATTTTCAACACTTTTTGACCTGCTTACTGATGAAATAAAGATGATGATATCAGCAGCAATTTTATGACCTTCCAAACTTTCTATTCCAATGGTAGTATAAACAGGTTAGAAGATTTAAAATATAGACCAGAAAAGCTAACATATTATTACTCATAACTAGTCTTATCGTTTTTTCCATATACACTTGAAATGACTATTGAATGGTATGAAACTGAAGAACAATTAAACAAAAAAAGAAACAAAGTATTTTAAATCACAGAAAGATAAGAAAACCTTAGGGATCCAATCCATTTTAATCCTTTTTCATTGAAAATAGAACATCTAGAAAATACAGTTTTCTACCTAAATCCAAAATCTGATCAAGATTTTACTTACAAAAACACATTGTTCTGTGAATTATCAGTACAACTGTAAATAAAATGTACCTATAAAGAACACTGTAAACACCATTAAACAAACAAATTTAAATCCTGATTATACAGGGGTGGGTAAAAGTAGGTTTATAGTTGTGAATAAGTGAAACACAGAGTTTTAGTTTTGTATTATTATTTATTAATTATTGTATTATTTATTTGTATTATGATTTTAAAACTACGTTGACCTGCCCCTGTATATTTGGGGAGAAAAATGATCTCTAGCTACTATTTTAAGGAAAAATTAAACATCTATGGAAGAAACCAAAGTAAAGGGTATTATTTGCATTAAAATGTACAGTTCTATCCTCATAATAACCAAAACCTCAAATATTAGTTTTAGTGACTCATATTAATTTGTGACATTAACATTTATAATTATAGATGTAAAAAACCATTGTTCAAAACATAATTATCACTCCAGCATCTCATTTCATGAAATTATTAAATGAAAATGAGAGTCTCCACATGAATTTGTGTTGGATAGTTTCACTTATTTAAGAACACTGAATAATTTAAGATCTGTTTAAATAAAAGAAACACAAAAAGGTCACTTCCAAAAACTGCTAGAAAAATACCCTCTGCCATTTCTGGGTGGACCTTAAATTCTCCAGAATGATTACAAAGTGCGCATACCTTCCAGGTGAAGCCACATCAACCTCCCCTTCACCCTCGCAACAGAGGCCACACAGAGTTCTCTTGGATTCCTGGGGTTTACAGCTTCGAGCTTCATGTTCTTTGTGAAACCCCGACTGAATGATGTCTGAAAGAGAGAACCGACACTGAGCCAGTAGATACTGCAACGAGACAGTGTGCAGCAACAAGGCCAGCCAGCTGATACAGCCTGCAGAACTGTGCACACACACACACCCATGCACACAGATCTTATTCATAAGACAACCATGCTGTTCACAGGTTTGTTCTTCCTGCCACTCATGAGGAAAAAAACCATGCCTTCTTCATTTGTATCCCAGAAATGAGAACTCTGCTTGGCATATGGCAGGTGCCTAATAATATGTTTTGAATGAGAGGATGAATGCATTGTCTCCTTCCAGTCCCATACACATGCTGACTTCTACAGAACCACTGAGATACACATAATTTCTTCTACTTCCCTATATTCCTTCCCCACATCAGACCTGGGCACGTTTGAGGGTATGTAAGTAGAGAGATTGAGTCTCCACCTGGGATCATCTTCCTTCAGCTTGAAGAATATCCTTCAGCATTTCTTTTAGCACAGATGGGCTGGTGAGGAACTCCCAGAGTTTTCCTTTCTCTGAAATTATCTTTAATTTTCCTTTCTCTGAATTTATCTTTATTTCGTCTTTCTGCTTTTTGCTTATGTTTATTCACTTTCTAAATCACATTTTAAAAATTTACATAGAAGAAAATTCACTATTTTTGGTGCACTGTTCTATGAGGGTAAGGCTGTTAGAAAAATGCCTACAGTTGTACGGTCATAACCACATTCAAGATACAGAACAGTCCCACCACCTCCAGAGTACCCTTGCACCGACCTTTCGGTAATCAACTCCTCCCAGGCTCCCAATTCCTGACCCCTGATATATTTTCTGTTCCTATAATCCCACCTTTTCCATCTATCCAATAAAAGGAATGATACACTATGTAGCCTGTGAGTCTGGCTTCTTTCGCTTAGCAAACTGCATTTGAGCACCATCCACACTCTTGCACATCAGCAGTTCATTCTGTTTTACTCCTGAGTAGTTTATGTAGATGTACCACAGTCTGCCATTCATTTACTAGTTGAAGGACATCTGAGTTGTCTCCAGTTTTTGGTGACTGTGACTAAAGCCACCATGAACATTTAAGCACAAGTTTGTGTGTAAACATAAATGTATTAGTCAGCTCCAGCTACCATAACAAAATACCACAGGCCAGGTGGCTCAAACAACAGAAATGCATGTCTCACAGCTCTGGAGGTTGGAACTCTGAGGTGAGAGTGCCAGAAGAATCAGTGTCTTCTGAGGTCTCTCTCCTTGGCTTGTAAACAGCCATCCTCTCTGTGTGTCTCCACATGTTCTTTCCTCCATGCATGCAGTGTGTGTTTTCATCTCTTCTTATAAGGACACCAGGCATTTGGATTAAGGCCCACCCACATGACCTCATTTTACCTTAATTAACTCTTTAAAGACTAACTCCAAATATAGCTACATTCTGAGGTTCTAGGGACTAGTGCTTTAAAACACGAGTTTTTGGAAGGACACAATTCAGCCTATAACACTGTTTTCATTTCTCTAGAAACAGAATTGCTGGACCATATGGTAAATGCATGTTTCTAAAACAACAGCCAAATTATTTTCCAATATATCATTTTGCAATCCCATCAGCAGTGTATAAAGTTCTAGTTGCTAAAGATCCTCACCAACTGATATTGCCAGTTTTTCAAATTTTAGCCCTTCTTATAGGAAAGTGGTTTTAACTTGCATTTTCCCTATTTTCGTATTTGTCATTAGCTTATCTTCTTTGGTGAAATGTCTATTTTTGCCTTCATTCTCGAAATATATTTTTATTTGATAAAGAATTAGAGATTCTTTTTTTTCTTTCAGCACTCTAAAGAAGTTGGTTCACTCTTTTTTGGCTTCCACTGATTCTGATGAGAAGTTTGTTATTATTCAAACTGTTATTCCTCTATTTGAAATGTATCATTTTTTCCTCTGGATGTTTTCAAGATTTTTCTCTCCATGTTTGCATATCAGTGATTTGACAATATTGAGTTTCTTTGTATTTATGCTGCTTGGGGTTCACTGAGGTTCCTGAAGTGTAAATTTAGGTCTTTTGGTTACTTTGTTTAATTTGGGACCATTATTTCTTCATATATTTTTTTCTTCCACACATTCTGTGCCCACTTCCTCTGAGTCTCTGATGACACATGAGATTGTCCCTCAGATCCCTGAGATTCTTTTCATGTTCCTCCCAACCCCCTGCCATTTTTTCTCCATTCTTCGGATAGAATAATTTCTGTCTTCAATTTTATAAACTCTTTTTTCTCTCATCTCTATTCTACTATTAGGTCCTTCCAATAAATTTGCTTATTTCAGATACTGTATTTGTCAGTTTTAGAATTTCTTTTTTTATACTTCTACTTCTGTTCTGGCACTTCTTATCTTTTCATTCATTGTGAGAATATTTTCCTTTACATCAATGCTTCTAAAACTTTAAGAGTACATCAAAATTTTTGGAAAGTCTTTTAAAAACATATAGACTGCTAGGTCTCATCCCAAAGTTTATGATTTAGTTTATTTAAAGTGAAGCCAAAGAACCTGTATTTCCAACAAGTCCCCAGGCGATGCTGAAGGAGCTGGCCTTGGGAGAACACTTTGGGAACCAGTGCTTTGTCTTACCAAACTTAGTTATAATAGGGGCTTTAAAATACTTGTCTGCTACCCACGTCTGGGTCATCTTGGGTTTGGTCTCTGCTGATTACCTCTTCCACTGAGAATGAGTCAGAATTTTCTATTTCTTCATGTGCTGAGCAAGTTTGAATTGAAATCTGGATGTTTTAAATGTTACGTCATAGAAACTCTAGATTGTGTTATATTCTTCTTAAGAGTGTTGATTTTTCTGTTTTCCCAAACAATGAACTTGGCTGGACTCAAACTATACACAGTTATCTCTTCAGAAGCAGCTCAAATCTCAGGTCAATTATTTCATCGTTAGCTACTAGGTTGCTTGGAGTTTGCCTGTCAAATATATGGTTCAGGGATCAGCCAAAGATTTAGGCAGCGTTTATACACGGAATTTGTGGTTCCCCCTCCTGGCTCTCCCCTGTCTGTGACTCCGCTCGCTTTCCAGTAGTTGTGTTTGCCCAAATTCTGTTACCAGGTTCATAAACCCAGAAAGATTATACATTTTATATCAACGTTTTCATCATCACATATGTTGTCAACTGTGGCTAACCTCAGGCCACTTGTCTGAAAATTTTAGGATGATCATCCCATGGTGTTCCTTCCTTCTAAACACTTGTTCCCCTCCAGAATCTGTCTGCTTTGGTCCATTCTCCACATCCTTCAAGTAGCTGTTTTTATTCTGTCCAGTGTTTAGTTGCCATCCATGGATTAATTCACTATGAACTTAGCCATTATTGAAAACAACACTCCATCCTAAATAAATATAATATAAAAATTTTCAAAATCATCCACTACTATAATTTTTAACCAGACATTGCAATACTATAAAATATATCTATTTTGAAATATATAAACTGAGATAAGTGCCTGTAAATAACTCATGGAACATCTCTTTGTTACTCATGGAAGGAAACCAAGGTAATTCACATTTACATGCCTTTTTATATACATTAAGTTGAAACGAAAGTCTGTGTAAACAGAACACAATTATCCAATGTATGTTGAGAAATCAATTTGCTCTTTTCCTTTATGTTTCTTTGGAAATAAGAATGAAAGCTATCCAGGTGGGCTATTTGCCTACAAATCATCTGAATTTATCCACACAGATTATGTTGAGCTTCCTTCTGATAATACAACTCAACAGGCTGCCTGAAAAGCCTCTAAGTTACGTTATAACACATTTTATCCTACTTTATAAGGGAAAGCTACAACCACATGACCTATTTTAGTTTCAACTCACTGCTTGGGGATAATTTGTAAAGGATCAATGGCAAAACTGTTACCCGTGAGTTTATTTCACTAAGCATTTAGCTGTGTCAATCTATTTCAGAACTGCCTGTGATTGTTAAACATCCTTAGGGAAATGTCTTCCATGCATCCACTTCCAAACTATCTTTCCTCTGGTATACACAAGATGGGTGATTAAAAAATGAATTCATAATAAGCATTCCATTAAAGAGCACTGTAGCAAGCTAATAAAATTCAGCAAAGTATCAGTAATGCAATGCATACGTCAACAGGCAGATAACAATCCTGTCAATTAAATAAACGAGAAGCCCGAAACAAAGAGGGGCATATCTGTAACAAGTGCATCCCTAATGAATACACTAGCATATTTACTAGAACAGATTTAATCTGGGTAGCTAAATCCTAGAAGCTCAGAGGCCACCCGGGAATGTGGCTACTTGCTCCACTATTAAAATCCATTCGGACAACAGCTGGCTGAATGGGAGCAGCAGACAGATAAGCAGCAGCTTTGGTAGAACTATGTTGTCACGGAAGAAACAGCTTCTTAAATACAGAACTAGGGGAGATATGAGAATTTTCTTTCCAAAGTTAAAGAATCAGGGAAAGATTTTTCTTTTTGTCAGGTAGAAAACACAAAGTACAGGAGTTTGGGGAAGTGATGAAGTGTTTCTATGATCCAAAATGAAAGGCCATAAGGCCAGGAGATTCTGTCATAAGTGATTTCAACAGGATAGAAACTTTAATAAGACTGCACTGGACTTTATAAGCCTTCAGTGCTAACCAGCTGCTATCCTCACAGTGGTATAGTTACACAGCTGCCCCCTCTTCCTATCACCTAACTACTCACCATAAAGTTCTTTTAAAGCTACAGAAGAGCTACCTTTGAGCAAAGGCAATGTCATCCACGTAAAAAGTTCATTTAATCATTTACGAAGCTTTGATTTCCACTCTGCCACTGATTTGTTTCTGTATTTAGGAGTGCAAGTTGACCCAGTAATCAACCTACTTAATTCTCCAAAATCCATTTTTGACTTATGATCAGTATTGAGTTTCTCTCTATGAAGTCAACCCTTTCCTCCTCTCAGTTCTCATATTCTGTTACCCTCTAGAACAAATTATAGATGGGGCTGCAATGAATCAGCAGTAATAAGAACACATGTCTAGAAAACAGGTTTTTGATTTGGGAGCGTTTTGCACTGTAGTATTAGCAATCTGCAAGTGGAAGACTTTTTTCTTAGCATAAGGAATTACCTTCCATCACTAAATGAATGTTCAACACAGTAAGCTATATATTTATGCCTCATTCTTAAATTAGAGATCATAATATATGTTCCTTTTCATAGTTCCTAGGGCTGATAACATTTAAATGAATAATTTATAAACTACTTAATACAACCAACTCCTATAACTACACAAGTACATACATGTACAAACACACACATACATACATTGCTATTTTATTTATTACAAAAATCTTATTACTATGTCAATAAGTTATATCTGAATAAGATAGGGGTTTAAAGTAAGCAAAGCCCCTATCTTGTAAAGTAAAGTAAGTACAAAATTGTTGGACTAGCATCCTACCAAAATAATGACAAAAAATTTAAAAATATATTTAAAGAATATTCTTTAGGTATGAAGAATCTCTTGTTGATGTGTTTATCAATATCACACTTCACAGCAAGTACATAGCTATTGGTGGCACAGGTAGCTAGCTGTTCACCAAAGTTTATCTTCCTCCTTCCATAGTAGGAAATCATGCTGAGGAATAGTAGCCTAGCCAGGGCATGTTCTAGCGTCACTCATGGCCTGGGGTAGCTGAGTGACCGGTTCTCAGCAACAAAAAGTGAGCAGAGTAGGATGTGTCAATACCAGCTACAGTGCTTGGAACTAGGACTGTCTTCTCCTGGATCTCTTTCCCTATCTCCTCACCAAAACATATCTAGCCTAAGGCTCACCACAATGAGAAGAACCACCCAGTATTCAGAAACATCTTGGACCTTTCCCTAAGTAAGAAATAAATTTATAACATGTTCAAGCCGTTATACATTCAGTAGTCATTTGTTACTGCATCTCAGAGTTACTCTAATACACAAGTTTGAAAGGAGAACTTTTTGAAAACTATGAAAGTTTTAGGATCCTGCAGAATACACTAGCATTCTCAATAAATAGAAAACAATTGGTAGGATTTACGGTAAGCAACATCTATGATAAAAGGAGTAATAAGAAACAAACGTCTTACATTTTTGAAGCAGAAAGGAGGTGCTTCTTCTGTTCCATGCTGCTTGTGATAATCTGCCCAGTCAAAGTCCTGGCCAGAGTAACCTGTGCAGGACAGAACACCGACAGAAGAGCATTAGTCAGGCTAAACCTCGGACAAATTAACAGCTTTATGGTGTGTCACTAATGAAAGTAATAAGGGGTGCAAGGGCAAGCCCCCAAAAGGTGGAGCCCTTTCTTAAGCCTGACAGCACATCAGATTTTATGAAGGTCAAATAAAATGTTTTGAAAAATGTGAAGTACTACATACAGGTAAGGTACACCACTATATCTAAAACCAGGTAAAGAAAGTGGAATTTACCCAAATCAGTGCATGGTGGTAGGTAGATCTCCTTTGGGGAAGAATAGAAGATACTGGGGTGTGGGGGTGGGGGTGTGGGAGGGTTAAGACACAATTATTTATATATAAGGCCTGTCTAGAAAGAGTCCAGCTACTGCTAATATAATGAGAGTGGTTTGCATGCCATCAATGTAACCTGGCAGCCAAGGAGAGTGGGCTGGAATGTGCACACGCATGAACAATGACGATTTCACTGTACTAGTGAGTGGGGGCGGTAGATGCTGTTGAGTGGGCATGTGGACTGTGTGGTCATCACATTCAAAATGACTGAGCAAGTAGAGCAATGATTCGGCATCACATTTTGCATTAAGCTTGACCATTCCTCTCTGGAAACTGTTTCAATGATTCAGAAGACCACTGGTTGGTAATTGGTGATTTGGTGATTGGTAGCTTCATCACATCTTGTACAGGGTTTTTTGCAGAACACCAAATCACCCAGGTGACTCAGCACCCCCCAACAGCCCAGATTTGGTGCCCTGTAATATCTGGCTTTTCCCAAGACTAAAATCACATTTAAAAGAGATTTCAGGCCATGGTTGAGATTCAGGAAAATACGACAAGGCAGCTGATGGAGATTGGGAGAACTGTGTGAGGTCCCAAGGTGCCTACTTTGAAGGGGGCTGAGGCATCATTGTCTTATGTACAATGTTTCTTGTATCTTGTATCTTCTTCAATAAATGTCTCTATTTTTCATATTACATGGCTAGATGCCTCCTGGGCAGACCTCATATACTGAATTTAATTAAATACAGATCTTACCAAAATGTTTTTTTTCTTTCTTTATTCATTCCTTTTTTTTGGACGGGTGGTGCAATTATATAATATATACCCTAACTAACTCTCGTGGTAGTTATCCATCATAACTATAAGACATGAGAGAAGGTGAGAGAAGAAAACAGTTCTAAATTATAAAATAAGAACAGCATTGGGTGTATGGCCTAACATACAGGTAAGGTACACCACTTCTTACCTAGATAGGAAAGTACATTTTAACGTGAGTATTTGTGTTTTCTGTGTAAAAAGGATGGTGATGAAAATGAAAAATACAGTAGCTATTAGGACTCACAGAAACTATACCAAATGTCACTATATCCTTCATTTAGTGTTCTCTCTTTACAGGTTTGGTTTTATGTAAAATACACTTAGGAATATTTTTGATGCCAAAGAAATTGGGGAATTTTCTTTTCCCCCATACTGTCTATAAATTTACACCTGCAAATTCACTTAACCTGGGGACTTTAGTTACTAAATCCTACAGTTGCAGAATGACTACAGAAATTCTTTACTAAAGAAACTCAAGACACTGGTTGCCTCCTACTTCCATTTATACTCATAAGCACAAAATAATATTCTTTTCATTAAGTAAGCTCCATTTAACCAACTTTTCTTAAGACGGGAGGATTAACGAGAAGGAAGCTGTCCTCCTCTCGCCCAGGGACGGACCCTTGATCCTCTGTACCCTGCTGCCCTTCCCCCATAAGATATCCTTCTCATTCTATACAGACTGACAATTCCTCATTTATTTCCAAAAAGGAGATAAGAAGTCTCAGAGTTTTGAAATGCTATGTACTCTTTCGAGCTAGTTCTGAAGAGGTCTTGCACATCTTCCACCTGCCCTTCCCTCCCCCCACCTACCACTCTCCAGCCAGATGCTCTTACATCAAAGGTTTCTGGAAGGAACCAAACCAACTTCCTTCCAAATATTCATAAGCAAAACAAAATATGTCTTACACAAGGTAATGCAAGTTTCTGTTCAATTACTGTAATGTGCCACTTTAAGAGTATCAGTCTGTCTGAAACTGTTGTGGGTCAAATACTCACATTAATGAATAAGAATAGGAGAATTCACCAAAAGACACCTCACACTGGTGAGAAGTTCTGTAACAGTACGGAGAGTACTGAACCAGAAGGGAGGACTGATTTTAGACCCAGTTCTACCAGGAACTAGATGGGCCTAGGAAAAAGTCTTCTGTGCAACAGACTTGTCTCCTAATTCACAAAATAAGGGAAAGATGTTTGAAGTCTCCTCTGGCTGTTGTGTTCTATGATTCAGAGCAGCCATCACTAATAGTTTACTGTTGCTGCTTAGGATTTTTTCCTTCTCTCTATGGTTAATGGTCTTTTCTCTTCCGATAAAAAGGTTTGGAAGGGTTGACAGAGGTTATCTAACAAGACACTTCCTACAGGAGCTCTTGATTGAACAGCTGAAGACAAGGTGACTCTCTGCAACAGAAGGACCCTATTTGTTTAGGGGTGTGGCCAGTCAACTGTTAACCAAAATCTTCTTTTGTTCCGTATCTCTTCCCTAGACCTCTTCTACTTCCTTAGTTAATTTTGTGAGAAAAGCTCATCAAGATCTTGGGAGAGGGGAAAATAAGAAGAAAATCTACAAATGAATAGTAAACTATACTCTAACATGAAATTTATGTTCTTTATGGTCAATATTTGTTCGGATAAAACTTTTCAACTTAGAAGTCCCACTTACTTCTACAGGCAGGCATTGATCAGGGGTTTCTAAAATCAGGTCCATAATCACCAACCTACAGTGGGCTTCAACCCACTCCATAAAATGTCTTCCTCCTCAGTTTCTTAGACCAACATTCAACCCTCTATATCCAGTCTTCAAGACTTTCTATGGGAAGCGATTTTTAATCCAAGGATTTCAAGAGATAACCAAGCCTTGCTGAGTACATAAGCAGCAACTAATTATTCTGGCCCTAGAACTCTTTCCTTCGCCTGAACAGCCAAGACTTTTCCTCCTCCTCCTTCTCTAAGGGACCCTTATTCACTTAAAATTCTTTTCCTTCAGGCTGATAATGAGCTCTCTTTGTAAGGCAGTTTTGTGACAGCTCAGAAAATAACTGCTACATAAAAACAAATTGCTGTGCCTTGTATAATAGAGACAACAGGGGTCAATTATACTCATTAATCAACAAAGACAAAACAAGAAGTTCTAAGGCTTAACTGCAGCCAGGAAAACAGGTTTTAAACCAGGGAGAGAGGGAAATAGCAGAGGAAAAGAAAATCAGAACCCCTTGGGCTATTCAAATTTGCAAGTAGCTGCAATAGGAAGACTGTTGAGCCACAACCACTAGAATTATTTCAGTTTTTATTAGTGTTTAATCTGCATAAAGTTCCAACTGTTACAGGTCCAGAAAGGACCAGGTCAGTGACCCATATCCATATGACACAAATTAATTGACATAAAATAGCTCAACTTGCAAACATTGCTTTTGGCAGTGTTATTAGACAATTCTTTTAAAAAACAATCTGACAGTTAAAATGTTCATGGACTTTGACACAATTTCATTTCTAGGAATTTATCCCATAAAAACAACCCTAAAGACGGAAAAAGTGTTATATATTAATGTATGATGGCATTATTATTGATAACACTGGGGGGGCAGAACACTTTGCATCCAAATAGAACAAATTATATAAAACTTATTCAAGTCCATGGAAAGTCACGCAGATATGAAATTGCACATCATTTAAAAAAGTCATGAAAAATGATTGCTATTATTTTCAAGGGTGTCCAACCTTTTGGCATCTCTGGGCCACACTGGAAGAAGAGGTGTCTTGGGCCACACATTAAATACACAAACACTAATGAAAACTGATGACCAGAAAAAGGTTTTAAGTAAATTTATGATTTTGTGTTGGGCTGCATTCAGAGCCGTCCTGGGCCGCATGCGGCCCACAGGCCAAGGGTTGGACACTCCTGTTAGATGAAAAGGCTGGTATAAGCATATACAGAATTATCAAATTTATATTGAATATATGCAAAGAAAAAGACCAGAGGCAATGTAACAAAAACTTAAAAGTAAATATCAAAATTATTATTTGGGTGGTAGGACTCCTAGATACCTTTTCCTCCATCTTTTTGCATTTTCCAAGCTTTCACTAATGATCACGATTTATTTCAAAAATAAAAATTATTTGAAAGCATGGCATCTTTATTTTAAAAGATAATCAAGGCATCAGCCAAACCATCAAGGGTTAATTTAGCCCACGGCATGGACTACACCAGCATTGCCTCCCCACAGCTACCCTCCCACTCCCGTGTGCTAACAGATACCCGACTGTATCTAGGTCCTCCATGAAGTTAGGTCTCAACTCAGTGCCAGGAAATGATCACAACAACCCCGAGACAATTATGGTGGTCAGGACCCTTGCCAGTGACTTGGGATGGAAAAAAATTTCCCTCTCTCATAAAAGAGACCACAGGTGTTAAGGAGCTGTTCTATGCTGGGAGGAGATGAAAAAAAAAAAATTTGAACAGTCTAAATAAAAAATACAAACAGCAAAAGAATATCATGTTTGCCATCTCTCTGACTGGCAAAATGAAAAACAATGCGGCCCGCCATGGTAATGATTGCTGGAAAGCAGATATTTTTACGTGTTTCTGGTTGTCATATATCTTTAAAAACAATTGCAGATGCCAATCTGGCACCACGTATTAAAATTTTTAAGAACGTGTCTACTTCTCCATCCTAGCCATTCATTCATTTACATCTTCATTCACTTAGAAACATTTAGTAAGTGCATGCGATATGTTGGGGAGGGTTCAAATACTAGGGATACAGAAGTGAACAAAGCTGACAAGAATCCTAACTGTTACGGAGCTTACATTTCAGTGGGAGAACACAGGACACAAATATGAAAAGTCAGATGATCACAAGTGCGAGGAGAGGAGGTGGACGAG